CCATCGCTATACCATGGCACACGCGCACCCTCACACACACACACACACACACACGCGCGCGCGCGCGTGCAAACGCACTGCACACACAGGCCTTTCCCCCCTCCCTCTCTGCACATGGACCCCCTTTTGACATGAACCTGTGTGTGAGTGAGTCTGTCTGTCTGCCACGCACTGCTGCACACGCGCATTCACGAATTTTGCAAACCCTACGCATAATTAGGGTTTAGTTGAGCACGTCAGCCGCCGCCCCGCCCCCCTGCAATGGGAAAAAGCCCTCAAAATCAGAGAGTGTTTACAATTGCGAGCTTGAGTGGTGCTAGGGGTCGCTAGCGGCACATGCCCTCTCCAAAAACACAACAGCACCAGAGAGGCTCACACACACAAAGGCCACACACGAAGCGAGAAGCAGCCGGAAGGCCTCCCACATGACATCTCTCTCTGTTTGTGCGCTTGTCTGCTCACAGAGATGCTGCTCGATCTCAAGGGACCGGCCATGCCGTGAAGGGCCCTAGCAAAGCTTTCCTGACCTCTTGATGAAGGTGCGATTCTGAGCTGGAGAGGCCTGTATGTTATTTACTTCAACTCCTTTCAGGCGATACCTTTTGAGCAACTTCGGATTCCCCTCACGACCCACACACACAACCTCATTCCCTCTGCTTGGTAAGGCCTGATAGCCCATAGTCACATTATCTTGCACACGCGCCCTCAGTTTCTCGCCTGCACCTTTTTTCTGCGCGTCTTTCTCTCACTGAGTGCCGCCCCCAGTCTGCATGCCAGTGTGTGTGTCTGTTTCCTTGCTTGCTTCCTTCAGGACTTGTGCATCCAGGACTCTGGGTGCCACTGTGTGTACCTCTCCCACGCCCACATCACAGACAGCCCCGCCGGCCCCGAGATGATCCGCCTCAACTTCACCGCCACATACGCACAGCCACAGCCGGCAGGCTCTTTCCTCTTCGGCTTCACTCGGGGGCCGGCCGACCTGACGAGGGTGCAGAAGAACCCCACCTCTGGTGGACCGGCCTCGGGAATGGAGAACATCCTGCCGCGGGGCTACAAAATGGAGGTGCCACATACATTCTACTTCGGGAGAATGGGTTTTAGGAACATTGGTACGGAGGGACGGAGTGGGTGGGATGGGATCGTGTGGGATGGTGTGGTGTGCTGTGATGTGGTGTGGT